CCCCCCACAGCCTCTCCTGCCCCCCCCACAGCCTCTCCTGCCCCCACCACAGCCTCTCCTGCCCCACTCCTTCCCCTCCTGGCTCTTGGGGCTTTTCCAGGACTGGGAATTTCTGATTATGTCAGAGAAAGCCGTGAGCTGGGAGGCAGAGGTTGCTCCAACCATGTTCTTGATCCAATGTGTTTCTTGGCTGGTGCTGCCCTTTCTCCAGCCAGGGTCACCTGGTCTTGCTTTGCTGGTTTCTGAGAGTTGTGTGTGTGTGTGTTTGCCTGTGAGGTTGCTTTGGTTTTTCCTCTGCTGCACACTTCTCCCACCCCTCTGACAAACGTGACACCCCCAAATCCCCCCAAATCCTCCGTATGTCAGCGCCTGCCTGACTTAGAGCCCCTGGGTTCTTGGAGGTAACACAAAGGGAGTGTCTCTGCAGAGCCAAGTCCTACCTGGGGGCACATCCCTGCAGCTCTGGCTTCCCTGGTAGCTCAAAGTGCCAAAATACCCTTCCAGGGAAACGTGGGTTTGTAAAAACATCAGCCTTGAGGCTTTGGACTGAAATCCTGGGGAGGTAAGAGGATCATTAAAGGAGACTTCTTGGATCACCTGGAGAGTAAAGCTTCCTTCATCGCCCAAAGGGAGTAGATTTCCTGGTATACAATTGGGATCTTGGAGGGTAATTAGCATGGAGAGAATAGAGTCTTAATTTCAGCTCCTGGCAGAGGAAATGGAGTGATTGGTTTTAATAAGACCAAATCAGCATGAGACCATGAAATTGAGGAATGCTTTAATTTTGGCAGAAATTCTGATTATTATTTTTTTTTTTCATTCTAAAATTAGATTTTTTTCATAGTTGAAATCTTTCTTTTTTATTTTTTAAAATTTTTTGAAGCAGAACTTACCAGCTGAACTGTGTGATTCAATCTGGTTTGGACTCTATAGAGATGTATGGGAGGCAGCTGTTATGGATTTTGGCCAACCCTTGAGTTAGAAACCTGCTTTGCACATTGAGCGCGGCGGAGGGGAGAGGAGTGCGCAGCAGTGGCTCTTGGCTAAGGAGGGAAGGAGGGGAGGGTTCAGTATGGCCTGCACATGCCGTGTGCTTGTGGAAGATGTCTTGCTGCCTGCCTGCTGCTGCTGCCTGGGTGGAGATTTCTTGCCTTGGCTTGGTTTCTGTTGAGGATTTGACGGTGCTGCACAATTTTGAAGTGGTGCGCAAGATGGGCTTTTGTTTTCCAGATTCATGCATTGATCACAGGCCCATTTGACACGCCTTATGAAGGGGGTTTCTTCTTGTTCCTGTTTCGCTGTCCTCCAGATTATCCCATCCACCCACCAAGGGTCAAACTGATGACAACGGGAAATAACACAGTGAGATTTAACCCCAACTTCTACCGCAATGGGAAAGTCTGCCTGAGTATTCTAGGGTAAGAGGAGACTTTGGCTGTTTTGATGGGAAATCAAGAAGTGGCTGCAGGTTGTATTTTACCTCACACATCCTTCTCAGTGTGTTGTGTCCTGATCTTGCCCCAGACATGTGCTTTTGGATACACCTTTATGCTTTCTGTGAAGTCGTGTACAGAATCAAGAGTTGTAAAGCAGCACAAATTCCTCCACTGAAATAAAGAATCTAATTAGTCTTTAAAAAGCATCTGAGGATGGAGCAGGGGAAGTTCAGTGGACGCTGCTGCTTTTCTCCTCCTGCTTCCCCTTGCAAAGCCTCGCCCCAGCGCTGCCTTTCTTCCGCTTTTGCCCTTTGCAACCTGATCCTTGATGTTGTTTGAATGTAGGTTTTTGTGGTTTTAATTTCCTCTCTCCGTGTGGGTTTAAAAAAATATAAATAAATAAAATCAAAAGCCACTAAGAACTTCCTTGAGAGCCATTTGACTGCTCTGGGCTTCCACCTACACAGTGTGTGGGGTTGAGCGGTGGGTGTGATGATTTACAAGCGTTGCTCCCGTGCTGCCTGTTCCAACAGGCTCTGCTGCTGCAAATGCTTGTTATTCACCTGCTTGATTTTTAAATATAGAATCATAGAATCCTAGAATGGTTTGGATTGGGACCTTAAAGATCATCCAGTTCCAACCCCCCTGCCAGCAGCAGGGACACCTTCCACTAGACCAGGTTGCTCAAAGCCTCATCCAACCTGGCCTTAAACACTTCCAGGGAGGGGGCATCCACAACTTCCATGGGCAACCTGTTCCAGTGTCTGACCACCCTCACAGTGAAGAACTTCCTAATATCTCATCTAAACCTCCCCTCTTTCAGCTTAAACCCATTTCCCCTTGTTTTGTCATTAACTGCCTTTATGAAAAGTCCTTCCCCAGCTTTCTTGTAGGCCCCCTTCAGGTATGTGAAAGTCCTGATGGATGTGAAAGTCCTGATGGATTGAATGGTTCTTATGACTCTACCAGAGGAACCCTGGCTATGGAGTGATATTCCCAGCCCCAGCTGTGACAGTTTCAGTTACCAGTAAAGAAAAACTTTTGCTGAGACTCTGGACTGGTGCAGCTGGGGTGTTGGTACGTTGTTCCTTCTCCTGCAGAGAGGTGATGGCAGCCTGGTGAGGAAGGGGTGGTGACAGCTTGAATTGCTGTAGGGATTTGATAAACCAGCACAAATCTGGGCAGTGATGATGTTTCAGACTGCCTTTGCTGGGATGGTTTCCACAGTGCTGTACAGCATCTACTTTCACCAAAGTTGGTCCAAGTAGCTGATACCCATTAGCTGATAGATGCTGGCCTCAGGGCTGGTAGAGAGATGCACTGTGCTGGGAAACACCTTCCTCACCTTCCTGATCCAGTGAGCTGGATGCCAACACCTGCAAAGCCCTGAGATGTCCATAGGGCATGTCCATGTCTCTGGGGTCTGAATGCCCAGCAGCTCCCACACCAGCTGCCTTGTTGATGGTGCAATTGTAGCCCTGGTGTGGAAGGTGAATTATTGAAGAGTGAACAAAGAGTCTCGGCTTTAGCAGAAATGGGAAGTGCAGAGGGAGCTGCAAATGAAAGGATTTAGGAAGAGCATATGTGGGTCAGCACATCCTTGTTCAGCTCACAGGGAGACAGGTCTGTATCTGGAACTAGGATACGAAGGGCGAGCAGCACAGCAGCCTTTTCTGCTTACGCTGTTCTGTGCCGAGGTTTTTGCTGCCCTGTGTCTTTCAAACAGGCACCTCATTCCTATAGCAGAGCACCCATTAGTGCTTTTGATGGCAGTTCTCATGCTGAGTGTCTGCATTACAGAATGCACAAGTGATGGGCTCGTTTGAGTCTTGAAAATCAGATTTCAGTGCTTAAGAGTTATGGTTTTTGATTTACAGTAGTGCTGGAAGCCTGTGTTGCTCCAGGCTGCTGTACAAGATGATAGCCACAGCTTTAAAATGCTCTGTAAAATGCCTGGAAATGTTACTTTCCCTCAACTCATGTGTGATGCCCTTTGTGCATTAGCAGTGAAGTTCACCAGCCTCTCTTGTCTTCCTCAAGCTCAAATACTCAGTTTGGTTGAGAGAATAAACTACTTTGACTCTGAAAACTTTCTCAGTGTCTGGTGCTTTCTGTATCTGTAGCAGCTGTTTCTTTTCCTGTCTCATTTCTCGAAGGTATAGATGCGGTTTCTCAAGCTTTCTGATCTTTGGTAGTTGGAGGGATGTTGCTCACTGGACCCATCTTGAGTTGTTAATTGATGTTTTTCTGTTTTAATACCTCAGCACTTGGACCGGACCTGCATGGAGCCCAGCACAGAGTATCTCTTCAGTCCTCATCTCGATCCAGTCACTGATGACTGAGAACCCTTATCACAATGAACCAGGCTTTGAGCAGGTGAGAGTTGGAGGTCAATCATCTCTGATTCTGCAGCTGTTTGTCTCTTCCCTCCACACCTTGCTCCTGGTGGCAAATCCCATTCTGGAAATGGGGACAAAAGTAGGTTATAATGCTTGGCTTTTTTCCAGCTTGTTCTGCCTCTAGTCAGAGCTTGAGGAGGAGTTAAAAGCCAGCTCTGAGTTGGAGGCTGGCTAGCTCACGTGTGTGTAAGGTAACAGAAGAACAAGAGGCATTTGAGAAGTTACTGGGGAGATGGGATGGCTCTTCATTTCTCCACTGCAGGACTCCTGAAATAGCTTCCTTGGGACATCTTGTCACGCAGGAAGCAAACTGCTTGGGTTTTCATGATCTCTAGCATCTTGGAGAGAGGCAGGTTTCTATGCTAACTTTATCAGTTGACCTGTCTCCACAGCTGTGCGAGTCCAAGGCTCTGGAGACGTGTAAAATCTTGCCAGCTTTTCATTTGCCCCATATAAATTAGCTCAGCATGCACAGAACAGACAAAGCTGTGGTGGGTTTGTGCACCAGTGAAATTCATTTGGCCCAGGAGGGAGAGATGAAGAGCTGTTGCAGTTGTGTGGACTGACTGGCCCAAATTCTGTTTCCAGGAGAGACACCCCGGGGACAGCAAGAACTATAACGAGTGCATTCGGCATGAGACCATCCGAGTAGCAGTGTGTGACATGCTGGAAGGAAAGTGTCCCTGTCCTGAGCCATTACGGTATGGAAAGGAGGCATGGAGTGAACATGAGAAAGTGGGTGTGGGGAAGCAGAATAAACTTCTCTGACTACCCTTCCTAAAAATTCTGAGAGTTGCTACAGGGAAGAGCAAATCTTTAATTCTCTCTGGTCCAGCAAAGAGTCATTTTGTTTCCCTCGAAGTGGGTGGCTGCATCTGTGCGGTGCCCAGGAGCTGTGCGTCGACAAAGGCTGTGTTAGTGTGTACAATGGCTGCATCTTCTGACTTGTGTTTGAGTATAAATGTGCCTTGTCTTATGGGGGAGAAAAAAAAATAGTCTCAGAGGGAGGGGAGCACAGCTGTTGTCAAAACACGTGCAGAATCTCTTCAGCTGCAGTGATGCTGCTGTTCATTTTGCTGTGTCCTGCCTCGCTGTACCCTGTTAATTGTCTGGGACACCCTGTATGGGTGTCCATGCTGAGTACATGGACTCAGTGGGATGGGGTGACCTTGGTTGTTGTGAGTTGGGGATTCAGCTTGGAGAAGAGAAGGCTCTGGGGAGACCTTCTAGTGACCTCCCAGTACCTGAAGGGGCTCCAGGAAGGCTGGGGAGGGACTTTGGCCAAGGGCAGGGAGTGACAGAACAAGGGGTGATGGCTTGAAACTGGCAGAGGGGAGATGGAGATGAGATGTGAGGAAGAAATTGTTTGGTGTGAGGGTGGTGAGCCAGTGTCCCAGGTTGGCCAGAGAAGCTGTGGCTGCTCCTCCCTGGAAGTGTTCAAGGCCAGGTTGGATGAGGCTTTGAGCAACCTGGTCTAGTGGAAGGTGTCCCTGCTGATGGCAGGGGGGTTGGAAATGGATGAGCTTTAAGGTCCCTTCCAACCCAAACCATTCTATGATCCTGTGACCGTTGTAGCACTGTCATTTTGTGTTGACTCTTTGCTCTCTCGTTGCATCCAGGGGTGTAATGGAGAAATCCTTCATGGAATACTATGACTTCTATGAAGGGGTGTGTAAAGAGAGACTTTATCTCCAAGGACAGACAATGCAGGTGGGTGGCACACAATGTTCTCCTTGATAACACGCTGCCTTAGATAAGGCTGTATGGTTAGTGACAAACAATTTGCAGCATATAGAGGTACACGGGGTGGATCTGGATCTTTTCTATGGACTGTTTATTCCAACTCTGAATCATGAAACTGAGACCTGAGATGTTCCTGTGGATAAAACACTGCCTTCCCCAAGTTCAGAGTATGCACACAGTGTTTTCAAGGCTGTTAGACTTCTCAAAGTGCTGGACCTGAGCCACTCTCCAGGCAAGCAGGTACTTCTTTCAGCAGTGGAATGGTACAGTTTCCTTTCATGTGGATTTGGTGTTAAGCAGGGAGGGCACATGCTGGTTATCCAATGCTGGTGGCAACTGAATTCCATTGGAATATTTTCCTCTTGGGTCACTGCTTAGAGTTTCTCTTTTTTCAGAGGTTCCTTTGCTCACACAGCAGATAGGAATTTTTCTCTGACACTCCTTGTTCTGTCAGATGAGATTGAAAGTGGCTGACTGAGTCAAAAGTTACTGGAGGAGGAAGGGGTGGGGGCAGAGTGACAATACGGCAGACACATCTGAGGTTGAATACAGGAGCTTATTTCTGCAGGAAAGCAGACTTTAAAGAATAGATTGCCAGGCTATTTGCATATGAACAGATGTGTCTTCCTCCCTCACCAGCCACCTCTTGTCTGACTCATTGAGAAATTCCACTGCTAAGAAAAGATGGAGGTGGTTGATTTAATGATCTTGTGTCTCTGAGCCTTTTTTTCCTGGGAACAATTCCTAAATTGAAACCACTCCCAAAGCCGGAGGGTTGATGTTTGGAGTCAGAAACTCCCATAAGGAAGGTCTGTGTCTGCAGAGAGTACTGAACTGAAGGCTGTGCAGTGAAGTTTGGTGACGTTAGAGGATTGTCAGGTGTGGCTTGCTCTTGTTTCTCCTTCAAGGAACCAGGGCTCAGTTGCTTTCTCCATGAGTTTCTGGACTGTGTCCTGGGACTGGGTTATGTTCAGCTGCCAGAGGTTCTGTTTTCTGCTCACTTGTAAATAGCAGTGCAGGCAGCATGAACACAACGTGCTGGAGAAGATGGCATTGTTGTCTTCATTACTCTGTATTTAAACACTCCAGGCTCAGTATCAGTTGAGTGCTTGCCAGATGTGCTCTCTTGTTAACTCTGGGGCCACATGTTGGCTTGTACCAAAGATTCCCATCGGATAGGACAGCATGAACTCCACCACTGCCTTCTATAGCCCTGGCAATGTGGTTTTGACCTGGGATAAAAGCAGCAAATGTTAAATAATCTCCAAAGACTTTTCTGCCTCTGACTTGGTTATATCTCAGCTGGGGGCCTTGATTTAAAATGAGAATGAGGGATGCTTTCATTTGGAAGGGGTCTGTAGCACTAATATAAAGTGTGGTCGAGTCTTTGGCTTCTGGATTTTAGGGGCTTTCATTTGGGAATGTTTTCCCTGCCTCCTTGGAGTGGGCCTGAGACCAAATCTTTGAAATAGTTTACTTCCTCAAAGCTGCAAGTAGAAATCCAACCCGTGTCTGCCTGGCCTTTCATCTGTTTTTGAAGTTTGCTTGGGTTTGTCAAGTTTCCCAAAAGAGAATCCAAACAGAAATTAGCTTCAGTCTTCAACCTTTGCCATGACAGTGGAAACTTGAGGGGCCTCTCCGTCATAGGATGGGATTTAACCCTTAAGTCTTTGACCATTTGTTGCTCAATTACTATGCAGCTTTTTTTCTTTCTGCCTCTTGCCAGAAGGATAATGGTCTGTATTAATAGGCTTATCTATGGTTTTCTTCCAGGATCCTTTTGGTGAAAAACGAGGCCACTTTGACTATCAGTCCCTATTAGTGCGTTTGCAAGGAATTCGGCAGAAGGTGCAAGAGAAACACCAGCAGGAGAATACAGAAATAGACTCTGAGAGCAGCTCCTCTGAGACAGAGACAGACACTCAAGGTTGCTCTAAAGCTTAGAGCTACGTTCACAGCGGAGAGGCCAAGCCGTGGGGATGTTCTGTCTTCACACTCTAGAGTACCCCTGACAGACTCGACAACCAAACCAATGCCAGAGCGGAGAAAACTGCGGGATTATCTTCTGTCTCCTTTGACTGCTCTGGTGGATAACGCTGAACGAGAAGACTTCATGCTAGACAAAGCCAAGCTTGTGACAGGCTACTCTTAAAAGGTACTTACTATGCTAGAAAGCCGGAGCATGTGGCATCAGGTTATTTTTTGGAAACACCTACACTGGTTGGTTTGTTGTTTTTTTTTTTAATTTCTTTTTTTTTTTTCTCTCTCTCCTCCATTTGATTAAAGAATGAGATCTAGACTGCAAATCCTCTTTACAGCTTTTCTGTTCCTAGACAGTGAGCCCTTCCCTGGGGCCATGCTGAACGTGGAGCTGTAGCTGTGGGAGTGCTTTTGAATCCAGGGTACGAGAGGGGCCACGTACCGAGTGCCCAGGCAAAACCTTTTTTGTTTGGGTTGGGAGAGATGGAGCCTCCCTGCTCTGTGGAGCCCATCTATCTGATGTCTTTCTTCTAGACACTGTTCTAGACAGACCAAAGATAAAAGAGCAGTGGTGGAATCTGGGCTCCTTTCTGAAAGCTTTATTCAAGCCCTGGGTGACTTCGTCCACTGAGACTTCAGGCGCAAAGGGGTGGATGAAAAAGTGGAAACTGCAAGAATCCCTAAATCGAGTGCAGGTGTGTTCATCCTGGTGTTTTGGGGAAGGGAGGGGTGAGAAAATAATTGGTCAGAGATGGGGGAAGCACTTAGAAATTTAAGTCTAGTTTGTGTATTATTTTTTTTTAAGGTGTTAATTTGAATTTAGCGTTCTACAAATATTTTATTCTGGCTGCTCTGAACAGAGCTGTTTTGTTTCCTTAACTGAAGTACTCTCTGCTTTCCACCTCTCTACTCAGTGTAGTACTTTTATTTTCCTCCCTTCTTCCTCCTGCCACCTCACTCACTGCTGCTACTTTGATCCATCAGATTGAAAGGGTCGAATAAATAAGGGGCAATTCTAGCTAAGGAAGCCACTGTTCCTGGGTGGACTTTGCAGAGGTGTACGCCTTGTTACTGACAGATTCCTTTGCCAAACTTGGCCGAGCACAAGCTAGCCAAGTGTCAGAAAGTTTAACACTTCAGTGCTTTGAACGTTTTAAACAGCAACTTTTTACTGTGAGTAGAGACCAGCCTCTTGGGAGAGGTGTCTGCTGGCTGCGAGTGCCATTACATCAAAGGTGTAGTTAGTGTAACTTGGGTGGAGGTGAAATATCCAGTGAAATTCTCCAGGTAAATGAGCCTGGGAATGATTGATTGGAGCAGGATAATGTTTTGTTGGTGAAGAGCTTAATCTCCTTTTTTTTAAAAAAAAAATATAATTTTTATGAGAGCTTTGATAGAAAGCTAAGCACAAAGTTGCACGTTGTCCTGGACCCTCTCCCAGTTTCCTTAAACACCTCCCCACCAGTTCAGCCCTGTTTTTTTCAGGCTTCTGATGATGGTGGGAGAACTTCCAAGGTTGTCATCTTTGTTCTATAAAAAAAGGTGCAGATAGAGGGGCCAAAAGACCCCTGCCATGCGCTGTGCAGACAGGCAGTGCCCCATGCGTCACGGGATTATTTTCAGTCTCTATGATTTATATCAGCTTTCACAAAACTCTCGAGCAGCTCTGGAAAGCTGAAAGGTGGAAACATTTCTGAATTGTTAAGGTGATGTTTTAACAAGCTGGGAACCTTTTTCCCCCCCCCGCCCCTTTAGCCAGCAAACTCCCCTGGGTCTGTCATTGGCTTGATTTAGACTTAACCCCGGTCTTCCCTCGAGGGAAAGCTGAACTTAACATAGGACTCACTCAACACTTTTAACACCAGATGAGAGTAAATAAAGCGGTGTTCACCTTGAAATGAGATCTCAGGGAGGCAGCGGGGTCTCCTGAGAAGTCATGAGCTGTGTGCTACTCGACCGCCTCTTCAATCCCATTGTAAATGTCACGTTGTTTTTCACCGTTCAGTAGCGTTGTGGGTAGAGCTGTGACTCTGCTGCCTTCCCAAGGCAGAGCTGGTTCTGAAATCTGTTTGTGATGCATGTGGCGTTACCATCCACCGATACAACGAGAAACAAGAAAATGCCTTATCGTGGACACTATTCACATAACTAGCATGTGGCTGTAAAAGAGAAGTATTAGTTTTATAGTTCTAATGTTGTCTGTCCTACCATTTCTGAATGTTTCCATTTCAAAGTGACAATCCTCAAATGACTGCTCTAGGCAGGAGATGTTTTAGCAACAGATTTTTAGACCTTATCGAGTTGAAAATATATGCACAAGAGTCACTCTAAGATACCTTGTTTATATACTATTGTACATAAGATTTTTTTTTTTTTTTTTTTTGTGCAATAAAGTTTGTTTTGGCAGAATCTAGACTGTGGTACTCCTTAGTGGAACAACTCATTTGCAGAGCAGAGAGGACTACAGAACAGTTTCTCAGTGTCACTGCTGGCTCCATGATTCTTTAGGCGGAGTCACATTTGTATCCACCAAGACTGCAGTTGAAATAGCAGCTTAGATAATTGTCTTCTTGCTGTGACAAGGTAATTAGTTGTCTCTAATGGTAAGTGGCATTTCCCCTCAAAACAGAGGAGAAAATTCAGAAGTAAGCAAGTAGGAATCAGTCCTATTAAACTTCTCAAGCTAGACACTTTTTACAAAACTTTTTATTTCAAGTCTACTGTCCCTGTGTTTCAGGTGATATGCAAAGAACCCCACAAGAAGAATTATATACAGGCACAGAACATGTAGCAGTCAAGGTATTGCCTCCTTGGCTTCCTCTGGAGTGATTTCCTGAGAGTACAGCTCTGTAAAGAGGGCAGGCAGCCAGTACTGGGGTTCTCCTGCTGCCTGTGTATCCAGCCAGGCCATTCCTTCCTTCAGCAAGTGTTCCTATACAGACAGAGTGGAAACTGTGAGTGAAACTTAACTCAATGGCTGAGAAGCCGTTCACAATAGCAGCCTGACCCCACATTTATTCTAGGGTAAGGGAGGGTGTAGAATTTGGGCTACAATCATTTTTATTCAACTTGCCCAGGAGAAATAGAGTTCAGACATCCAGCCATGCCCACCCTGCGTGTTTATGTAGGACCTGAGCTAACAATTCAAGTTTTAATGGAGATTAGTGAAGCCACAGGAGTATCTGCAGCTGCTGAGATTCTGCTTTCTTCAATCTATGTTTACAACAGTGTGTACTCTCTTTGGTCTACCAGCTAGTGTAGAATCCCCTGTGCATGTGGTGATAACACGTCCCCAGCAAAGCGTCTGCTGCAGGAGCTGTTTCTATACACTGTCACTGAGCTCCACCGTGCACAAGAGATCTTCATACATACCAGCACTTGCTTTGCACGTTCCGTCTCCCACTTCAGACTGGACTTGATCTCACTGACTGTTACATAGCCCTTTTTCTGAAATGAGAGGAGAAGTCTTGACTATAAGCAGACATTATTTAAATACATAGTTTAGAAGAACAGGGAGAGTTTTGCCTACAGGCCTGATTCTTTCAAGGTGGTTGTATTTTAAAATCTCCTGGCTCAATACCTCTGCCAGCTGCAAGACGACAGTGTGATCCATGTTCAGTTCAGCTGGTACCGACTGGATCAGATATGTTCCACCAACAGGGATAATCCCAAAGCCATTCCCCAAGACCTTCAGTTTCTTGATTGCACGAAGGAGATCATCCCTGAGAAGCAGAGGTCAATGCAAAGCTTTAAAACAAGAGCTTCTCTCAAACTGCACACTATGTTCTGTAAATGAGGAAGACTTGACATGCAGAAGCTACGAGCAATTTTAGCTCCTTGGAGCTTGCTGCAGTTTCAGGTAATCAACAGCTGAAAAACAACCTTTATAAAGCAATTTAGAATTAGTTTGTATATCTGTGTCCCCCTTCAGAACTGCATTAGACACACACTTACAGCACCTGAGCTGCAAGTACTAAACTTTTAAGATTCAGCCCCAATTAGTGATCATGGTGAGTTGTGTCCTCTGCAATGACGTGTATCAGTCCCTTCCTTACAGCTCAGGAGAGCGCAGCAGCTTCAGATGACTGTGGCACTAAGTGAGCAGCATTTGCAGGGGGACTAACTGTCTCCAGCTCAAGGCAACAGTCCTTAGGACTCCCAGAGAAAGCACACTGCTGCTTTCTGAACTGGTGAAGTAATTAATTCTGGATCATGTAAAAGTGGCTCTGTTAATAGAAGTCAAATTTGGACCTTCAAGTGCTGCTGAGATCAGTCACCTCCTTTCCTTCCCTGAATGGTATTTCATTCCCCTTTCCCGTTACAGAGGCACTCACTGGCTGACATCCTGAGCAAACTTCCCCCTTCCCTTCAGCACTTGTTGATGAAGTTCTTCCAGTGTTATCAGACCTAGGAGTCAACAAAAGGAGACAGGAAAGCATTACTGCATAGCAACAAAATGACTCCAACAAGAGCAGCCAAGGGTCCTTTATGCATTTACAACTGGCTCACCCTTGCCTTCCATTTTACAAGCGGCTGTTCATTGTTCCCAGTACCAAGCCTGGGGTGAGATAAGCATCAAGTCACTTCTGTTCCCGGAACTACTATGCAGCAGTCAGCTGTTGCCTTCTCCCACAAATGTATCACACTCAGGTTTCAACTGGCTTTGCTGTAGCTCATTCCTGGTCTCAAATTGCCCTTTTGGAGTGAAGAACATCTACTATCTTTGCAGTAAGCACTTATTGCTGGTATTCCAACTCTTTGGGATATTGCTGTGATCCTTTAGAGACAATCTTACTGCCAGGCTCAAAGCAGTAACTCAGCAGTTTCATACTCCTTCAAGATTGTCATTGATCCCTGCTCCTTCCCTGGGATACTGTGACTTATAATTGTGTTACCTAAAAAGGACAGAGTTGGTTGATTTCTGTAGAAATCAATGAAGGTGTGTGATTACCAGTGGTGTAGCTGTAACATGCTGTAGAAACAAAAGAAGGCTTTTTGGGGACAATGAGGACAAAACTGCCATCTCAGTAACTTGTGAAATCTGGTGAAGAATGTTACACTGAGCCACGTGACTCATTTTCCACAGGGAAAAGAAATCCTCCTATTCACTGTACCTCCTAGAAAGCAGACACGGTGGGATCCTCACCTCCATTCCTGTGTTTCAGAGCCAGACACACTTCAATGATCTGCACACCCAGTTCATAGTAAAAGTCTCCAACTCCCAACATCTCTGACCAGAATCCTTTACCAGCTGTGAAGTGAGAAAAGGGAAAGTGACTGGACCATCAGCAAAAATATCCTTCCTTAACAATTCCTGGTGCAA